ATGGTAAAAACCATATGAGACTGGGTAATGACAAAGAAGTATCCCTGGAAACAAGTACGAGTTTCACAGGTCTCTTGGGTTTACATCTACCATTTCATTCTCAGGTTTAGATACCAGACTTCTTCACAGTTCATATCTAAGCAAATTTAAAAGAATGAGGGAGGTACACAGCAGCAAAGCTATGCAAACTACAGTCCTAATTTTCAAGGATAAGGAGCTTGAGAAAGAGTATACCATTAGTACACTAGTGAGTTTTTATTATTATTATCAGAAAGAAAACAAGTATTTAAAACTAGACCAGAAAGGCATGAGGTATTCCAATGAAGAAAAGCTGTTTCCTAATATTAAGAACAAATATGAAATTACACAGCAATACAGGCAGGAACTCATCCTTTTCACTACCCAAGTCTGGACTATGTCAATGCACCTGAGCCCCCGGGATGTACAGATAACACGGAAAATTTTCTGGCAAGAGGTTCTGCCTCCTGACATCTCTCACAGGCCTGAGCTTTGGCAAATATCACAGCCAAGAGGCAAAGAGGATGTTTCACTTGAGCTAACAGAAACAACTGTGCTGCTCAAGGCAACCAAGAGTTCTAACAGTGCTGCTGCATAAGCAAGTGATGCAATCATAATGTAATGTGTTACCTATGCAAAAATGTAATTGCTTAATAGCATCTCATGTACTATTCCAAGTTTGCCTCAGCTTTCCCGAAGTAAACAAGTAAAATCAGCAGCATTTCCAGTTAATGTTTGAGACTGCACAAATATAATCTAGATGAGCTCGCAAGCCAATAATTTTCAGTAGTGGTCTGTTGATCACCCTTCACATGTAATGTGTCCTAAGTTACATTTCTACTTCTTTTACTCTCTTGTAGTTGTCCTTCATGTAGTCAGCTTGATGCAACATACGATTATTTATTAAAGTAGCCTTGTAATATTGTAATGTAAAAAAAGAGCCTTCCTTAGTTGCTGCTACTCAATAGCGAGTTATTTTCTGCTTTTGCTTTCTCACAGAATAGCTCTGAAAAAGTTTGCTGTGCATAACATAAGACAGATAACACAAAAGAGGGTTTTTTTAAAAAAAAAAAAAAAAAAACAGCTAGGTCAGGCTGTAAAAATCTAGAGAAGGAGGCACTGAACTGAAACAAATAATTTTATCATTTCAGATTTTTAACTTATGGTTAAGTGCACATAACATATGCCCTGCTGTTCCAATTACGGCTTGCTTGATACCTTTTCTCCTGCCGATTGCACTGACAACTAGTGCTGCACATGGATTACAGCCACTGCCAGGTGAGAGACTGACAATAATCGCTAGATGTATTAACATTCTCTGAATTGAACTTTCATTAAGGTGGAATTTAATCCTCTGGGCGTCAAAACACATTTTAAACACAGTTGAACAATGACAGAATCATTCCACCAATTAAGCGTAAAACAGAAATATTTAGGTATAAAATTGAGTAAAATCATCAAGTTCAGAATCAGATGAATGCATGGAAGGTCAACTATCCCACAGAATCTGAAAACTTCTATAGGTACAGTCTGCTAGATTCTCAGCAATTAGGAATTATGTTTTCTGTATATTTGTGAATCTATTCTTGCAAATAGATTTCCAACACTGTTGGAAAATGTACTTAAGTTGTACCCTGCTTTCTTTATGAAAGAGAGATGAGCAAGAAGAAAAAGAGGCAAAAGAAGTATCTCTCATCCAGTGTGCTCTAATAATACGAAGAGTACATTGGAGTTCATTGCACTCCTAGATTTCTACTGCATACACTACAGTCCTAATGGATTCTTCTGAAAGAAGCCTTGGACTAAACATCCTCCTTCCCTTCCTTCCCTCAAAAACTTACAGCCAGCCATACATCCATGAATGTATTTCCAATGGGAACCATTAGTACCATTACTCGATGAGTAATCAGAAAGGAATGAAGAGATATGAAACGGTAGAAGGCTTAACTCAGGAACAGGAGGAGAAAACATTAAAAAACATGAAGCAAAAGAGAGACAGTCTTTGAAATAAACTTACACAAAGAATTCTTGTTTCTTCTGGTAAAGACATTTATGTAATATCCAGTTAAATACCTATATATAGGTATTGACAGTCTGCTTGATGTGAGTGTGCGTGCGTGTGTATAAATAGCCACAAAAAACCTCCCTCATCATGCATTTAAATTCTTAAGGCAACAGGAAAAAAATTTCAATGCATGGAGAAGCTAAATATCCAGTCTCCCTACTGTTGACCTACTCTGTCCTTAAAACAAACTTGTATTAAACCATTCACAGAAATAAATACTGGAGTCACACATTTGAAATAACCCAAAATGCACCCAGGATATCTCATTTGCTACCCAGCTGCCATTTCACATCCCTGTATTTTGCTTAAACAGTAATTCATGTGTGTCCCTATACACATACACAGGAACAGCTGCTTAAGCACATCGTTTACTAATAATCTTTCAACACAGCTCAAGTTTTCTGCTAAATCAAGGTCTTCTGCCTGCAGCTGTTCCACTTGGCAAATTCCCTTATCAGTAAATTGGTGTCCTCTTCCAGAACAGATGCAAAAATCAAGCTCTTAACAAGAATATACAATGCCACTTGATTTTAAGAACGAAGTATCATTTCACATTCTAAGTCCTCGTAATTCTGTATTCAAATGATGTTTTTAATTGCAAAGGGAATTCCATAACCCTTCCATTCTCAGAGAAAATTATTATTATTTTTTTTTCCCCCCCCTGGAGCATGAGAACAAATCCAGTACATTAACAATGAAGGTTTTTTTTTTTCTTGTGTTTGTTTTTAATGAGCATGCTCCAGCTGCTATTTCAGAGCACAATTCTGAGCTGCAGATAGAAAACCCCTGTATCCTGCTCACTACAGCCCCAGTTCTGAGAGCCAGTCCGCTATTGAACTAGATACAGGATTTGAAGGTCAAATTAAATGGTTTATCTACAAACTGAACATTGTGAAAATCTGATTCTAAATAAATCGGTCTGAAAGTGATTAGTGACATACATCAGTACCATAAAAGAGATTTCAGACAAGCTGTTCACATGTTCATGCACCTTTAAGGAAAGCACTATAACCATGTAAGCACCTTTTAAAATTTAAGATGCGTCCTATTTTGCTATGCTATACTAATTTTTATTTCCATATCTTTTCATGTTGGATGCTTCAAAGTATCCTGTGTAATAATGATGAATTCACAGAGATTGCCCCAGTGTTGGTAACTTGTAGGAGCAATGCAAGTCTGCTACACACCAGAACTAATAAATTCACAGAGGATACCTGTATTTCCCTATGGAAAAATAGCACACAAGAAGATGATGAAAATCTCACTCCACTGGAAAGAACAAAAACTCAGTATTCTGGCCTACTTAAGGGGAAAAGCCCGGAGGGAAAGCCTCTAGCCATTAGACAGAATGCAGCATTAGAATCACAGCAAATGAACAACAATTTGGCAAAGGCAAACAACAGGGAAAAACAAACTTCAAAGTCAAACAAGAATAAGACAGACTTTTTAATGAGATCTACTCTGCAGATATGCCATCCTAATACATAGAGTTTAGTAAAAATTACCTAGTGCACAAAGATTATTTAATGAGTTTATCAGACTAATGATTTCTTCTATTCATTACTTGCTGGTCATATATATGTTCAAATTGTGTGGACACGATTGTCCAATTTGAATTTTTCATTTAAAAACATGAACATTTGAGTGGTGCAATTTACTTGTTCATAGTTCATGATGCTTATAAGGAAAAACACACCTGCTTTGAAAAAAATACCTGCAAATTTCTGTGATGCAAGTTGAAAAGTCGTAATTTCTCCACAGTTAAAGACACAATAATTAAATAAACATGGCATAATAAAACATAAAACAAAGAGGGAAATCACCACTGAAGTATATATAACTGAATGGGAAAAACAGAACAGAACTTAATAAATTCTTAGAATTAATCTTTATGTCTGTCAGCAGACAGGCGTCAATCTTTCATACTAGGTACAAATCATTTTGTGATTCTCTCCTATCTGAACAACCTTTTGCTTAAGTCCAAAGTGATTCAGTAAAGCTTCTGAGCACTTGAAGCACTGAGTACTTGATAATATTTATATCACACACATACACACTCACTCACTCTGTATTTGGACCGCCAGCTTAGAATTCAGGCATACATTTAAATGCATCTGTTGCATTACAAGAAATTAAAAGTAGAATAAAATACCAGAAATACAGGATTTAATCTTGGATCACTTCTATTTAAATGACTTGGAATAGTTCTGATGCTTTTTTTCTTATCCTTAGGAAACGTTAAAAAACCCAACCTTCTGTAAACCAGTCCATTTCACTGGCCACCAGATCTAGGGTAACCTGGCAATCCAGTTTTCATTTCTGATACTCAAGAACCTCACTGATATATTAATATAAGCTCATCAGCAAAAAACTGCTGAACAGCTACCCATCAGGTTCAGACAGCCATCACAGTCCACTTTATCTTTAAATAATTTGACATAAGAAACCCAAATTCTTAAAACTACTAAGTGAACAACTCTCCCCATCTCTTGAAGACCACAGTTGTGCATACAGCAGTTATTACTCTGAGTTACCTTGAGTACTCAAAGTAAAAGACACTTCTGGTATTTAGAGGAACAGAGGACTACTCTATGTTTAAAGAAAAAAAACAAACAACCCAATACTTCTTACTTGCTTACATCAACAGAACACCAATTACTATTTGTATCTATAAAATTAATCCAACTCTTGGTTTTCCATTACTTTTTTTTTAATCTATAAATACTACACAATAGCAAAAAAAATGAACCAACAAAAACCCACCACAATGGTGAGGGAGGCAATCAACAGCAAATTCTATCATTTCATGTTTACAACATTCTAAGACTAAATCATTGCATTCTTTTCCAATGCTGACTCCTCAGAACATTATTATACATTTTATTTCTGTAAATAAATGACTTAGCAAACTACTCACCGGCAGTGTTTATGTGATCCTGTTAAGGTTTCAATCACAAAGCATTCCCCTTCATTGAGACAGTATGCAAGATCCTTGTCTTTGCATGGCTTAAAGTGCTCAGATCGCTCAGTGGAATACGTTGTAGTATCTACAAAGAAAAAAGAGAAAAGAAATGCCTTAAGGCTAAATATTTTTAAACTGAATGTTTTTACATTTAATACAAGTAATCTCCATAACTTCTACTGATAAAGACAGTCTAAATAATTAAGATACAGCAACAGCACAAAGTAAGCAAACTCCAATGTGACGACAATGTTCTTAGCAATAAAGCTTCTTGAAAGAGTCACAAAACGAATCTCACATTTGGAAAAATTGGCAAAAAAGAGGAACTGAAGCAAAATTGAGTGCAATTTCCAAAGCACGCCATCTGAAAGTTTAAATAACAGGTTCTATCTTAAGATCTCACATTTTTAAACAATGGTAGCCATCAATGCTGTCAAACAAATTAATACAGCTTCATCTACTACTATTTTTTTATTAAAATCAGAATGCCATGGTTCTATGTTTTTTGTTTGTTTTTTTATTTTGGGTTTCAGTATTCCACATCAAAACATCATGTAGTGTATGGGGCATTAAAGTGTCACTGCCCCAATCCCAGGTTCCTATCCCTGTACATTACAGCAGTCACGGGATCTGGCCCTTCTGGGTGGGGGGGGCGCTCTCTTGCTGCCTTGCAGTGGGTGCTGGAGGTGCTTTCCGAGCCGTTCCAAGCTTTTCAGGTTTTAATCGGTCCCGGGAACTCTCTCTCTCATCTTGTCTGATTTATTAATCTCAATTTCAACTAAATTGTATATATTGTGTTATTTTGTATTCCAATATTATAGTAAAATAAGTTTTCCTCCATAGATTGTTGCCGCTGCTTTTTTCCTCCCTTCCTTCCTTCCCATTTTTGTGGGACTGGGGTGGGGGGGGAGGGCAGAGGCCTGTCGCCCCTGTCACGGACATAGAGTGATCCGGTCAACTCCGTGACACAGAAGAACAGGTAAGGTTTATTTTCACTTTTTTTTTTTTATTAATTGTGAATTAATTGTAAATGTGAATTAATTTCACATTTATATAACTTAATACAGCTTTAAACAAAATATCTATTTTTTCTCGACAAGAAAACCTCTCTCACACACACAAATGCATGCATACAAAAACAACACAACAAAAGAAAAATCTGAGGTAAAAACAAGGCTATTTTGATTCATCTATCACAAAAACTGGCCTAGAATTAAAAACAAAAAAAATGCAAGGCTCCACAGATAATTTCATTTCAGGTATATCTTCTATAGGTGCCTTCTTCTCTCCACCTCCCCCCACAACAAAATTTAAGGAAGTTATTTTCAGAACAGTCTATTACCAGTAAATTTGCAATGTATGGCTGGATGATGAGATCTGCAACAGTCTCTATCAGCATGTCAGAGTAGACCATCATCCCTGCCTTCGAATGTATTTATTTTACTCTTCCAATCCAGTTGAATAAATAAAGAAACTGAACTTGTCAAAGGAAGACAGACAACACTTTGATTCTCTCCAATAAAGCCAGCATTCTCTAACAAAGCACAACATTCAAAGTAGATAATATCCTTCATACAGAATCTTAATTCTCAAAACCTAAATTCTTACTCACTTAGCTGGGACAAGGAGCAGGACCTGATATACTAATGTACTCTGAAGTTATAAGAGAACATTTTAGCCTATCAAAAATGATCAGGAACATTTTTTTTACTGTCAGAGGAATGAAACTGTGTTTGACGCACATGGGATACTGCAAACTAAAAATTACAGCAACGTATTGACTTCTTTGCTTATAACTAAAAACAAAAATACCCACAAAGTAAATAACAAAGCTGAAAAATAAAGCGCTGAATTACTAGGAGACATCAATATGTATGATTCTGCAGGTATTTTTAAGTAAGCAGACGTGCATTGAAAAAAAAAAAAAAAAAAAATCAATCAATTCTGCTTTCATCCTCTGAAGAATGAACTAGGAACAATAAAGAATGGTACTTCATCAAGATCTCTCCATTCCCAGAAGCTTGCAATGTAACCATTAATTCTGACAGTACTTTAAGGAAAGCAGTGCTAAAAGGTTTCCCTGTCACCCCTTCTAAGCAGAGAAAGATCAATAAAACACTTTTATAATCCATACTCTATCGTCCCCAAGAGAAATTATTTTAGTTCAAAGTTCTTATGGAAAAAAAACAAACATTAACATTCTCCCTTCAAATAATTACACAGATTTAGAATGAGAGGTCCTGCTACAGTCCCTGTTACTTTGCTGAAGATGGTATATGTCAGCATCTTTCAAAAATGCAGAGTAGTGGAACTTCAGAAAAAGGTACAGGCTATAAAAAACTACTTGTCCTCAGTGGATGCAAGCAAGCCCTGTAGTGAAATGTATCAGATTGAATTTTGGAAACAATGAGAGACGTATGTAAATGCAAGCAGGGACAAGCATGTCTGCTGACATTTCAAAAGAAGATCAGGTTCTGTATAACAACAATATCTTCAGGTCGAAACATCCAGTCACCTTCTCAGGTCAGTTTCACGCAGGAACATTTGCATTGTCATTGAAAATCTGTATAATTTATTATACATACATGCACACACACAACAGCAATCTATTTCCACTCCTCTTAAATACCGAAAAATGAAGATAGTATTACTTGCAAGCACTTGTGCTAATTATACTGATTATCAAAGGTAACTAGAAGTGTTTGATGAGCAGCACCTCAGCTCCATATGCTTTAGAGAACAGATCACTTACGTTTGTCAGCACACCCTGCAAAAACTACCCATGCAGATACCCTTATGAGGTTAGTCATGTTACACAGACCTAAGCAATCTGAGACACCCCCAAAGGCCAACAGGAAGAACAAGGAGGCATGCAGTACCCCATGGCACGTCTCCGCAGTAGGAATGTACCCACTTGTACTTCACTGCTGTGCTCTGAGAAGGAAGATCCTCTGCCACCCACAATTGCCTTGTCAAGGTCAGCATTTTGAAGTTTTGGATTAAACATGTTCTTCGGAGGCTTGGTACTGTCTAACTTCATTCACTTCTCTATTCAGTATTACTCAAGATTATATCTATGAAATGCAACTGAAGTTTTCAAAAAGATTAAAATTCTGCTGCTGCTTTCATTTCACGTTGCATTTGTAGTCAGACTTTTTTTTTTAACATACATGTGTGGCTCAATGCAATATTGAAAAAATTAATCTAAGAACTTGCTCTAAACAGAACTACAGAAGGAACAAAGCAATTGATAACACTGTAGAGATTACCTAGTTTTCTCAATTCCTTTTGTTATAGATTTTATTCTATTTTGCTTCTTGTTTTGTTTGACTGCTCAAATGGTGTTTCAACAGCTCTGTCTTTTAGGAGCTTGCTAAATATCCACTATTTTACTGTCCAATCAGAATTTCTTTCAAGGACTCTTATCAGCTATAAAACTTAAGCATTCACAAAATTATCTCATCTTAATTCATTCACAGTCTTTACACATGGGTGCCAGACTCCAACATTTATAGGCAACAAAAGGGAGCCTCTGTTAAGCATTCAGATATCCTTAAATTTAGTACTTAAATGCCAAAAATCCGTAACTCCCTAAGGTCTTTCTTCCCCCACCCTACCACTATTATTTTTTTTAATTGCTAAGTGTCCAGGCATTTCATCTAAAAGCAGCAGGGGACGTGGATTTCTGCTGGAATCTTTCTAACTAAAAGGGAATAAAGAATGCCTAGGTGGTTTTGCTCTTTTGTCACTGTCTCATTTTATCCGCAAAGCTTTATGTGCCACTCTCCTACTCCATATCTGAATATACCGCTGTCACGTCTCTGATATGAAGCGAACGAGATTTCAGGTTTCAAAGTGAGGCTTGAAAAAAAAAAAAGTAGTAATTTGGGAGTGCTTAAGACAATGTCATTAGCCAGTTTTCAGATATTGTTATATTGTGTTATTATCTAAAGATGTGCTACCAATTTGGTATTTTTATGTTCTCTCCTTAATTTGTTCCACCATGTTTATATCAGCACAGGATGACTCATCACAGCTAATCTATTGAATGCTCCACAAGGCACAATACGGATACTATAAATACCACCTCCCCCATTCAAGGCTACTCAAGTCATTGTTTCCAGTATCGTGCTCTGATATTCATAAACCTGTAATTACATAGGACAAATGCAGGAAAAAGAGTGGGAGACTTAAAATACCCTGGCAAAACAGTAACATCCATGGCAGCTATTTCTAGGTAGTCTGTATAGGAGCAAGCATTCCCATTCATCACATGCAGGTTCACCACATTCTGGATTTAGAAACAGATGTTACTGAAAACAGCTCAAACAACAAATAACTTTTTGACAATATTAAAAAAAAAAACCATACAGCACGGATCTCCTTATAAACAGCTTTTCAACATGCACAGCTGTAGCTGCCATGGAGTGACAAAAAAAAAAAAAACAACCTAGAAAAACAAGAAATAAAAAGATACTGCTTAACCTTTCTGAAGATAACAGCGGACAGACGTGCAAGTCCCATAGCCTCATGGTAACATTCACTTTCATGGGTAAAGCAGCAACTTAGTGCATTAGAAAGGACTATTTAAGACAAATATGGGTTTTAGAAAGGACTATTTAAGACAAATATGGGTTCCGTGCTAAAGGTTACATGCTGGAACAACTACTTGTAAAACTCTGCTTGTTTTGAGTTACTATTGTGTATTGTCAGCTTTATACATTAAATATCAACTAGACTAACAAATTGTTATCTATCTGCAAGCGATAATTTCTATGAACCATTGACTGATATAACTAAAAAAAAAGTGAGGTGCTTATTTTAATTCAATGACGTTTTTAAACACACTACCAAAAAGAAAGCAAAAAAAATGGCATTTCCTCCTATCACACAACTCTAGTTACAAAAACAAAACAGATTAAAGAAGAGCTCCTTCTGACAATGTATGTTTACATCATGAAAGTAAACTATCAAGTACTTAAAATTACTGAAAGTAAAGCCTCTTTATTTATGATGTTGGCCCACCACATCAGAGATGGGTATTGGTGGTATGGCAGTAGGGATTGAACTGCCAGCAAATACAGA